CACAGCGCCACTTCCAGCTTTTTTTCTTTTTTCTTATGTGGTGCTGAGGAATCGAACCCAGGGCCTCAGGCATGCAAAGCAAGTGCTCTACCACTGAGCCACCTTCCCAGCCCCAGGCCGCTGGTCTTTCTGGAATAGTTTAAACTGTTTTGGAGACTGTGGCTCTATTAATTATGCAGATATCTGTGTTGCTTCCCCATAACAGCTTCTTGTGTTGTTAAAAATACTTCTTTTAAGTGGCTCACACCTGTCATCCTAGCTATTCAGAAAGCTGAGATCTCAGGATTGCAGTTCAAAGCCAGCCAGGAAAAGTCAGTCATGAGGCTTGAACTCAGGGCTTGGGCGCTGTCCCTCAGCTCTTCAGCTTAAGGTTAGCGCTCTACTACTTGAGCCACAGTGCCATTTCCAGTTTTCTGAGTGGCTTATTGGAGATGAGTCTCATGGACTTCTTCCTGGGCTGGCTTTGAACCACGATCCTCAGGTCTCAGCCTTCTTAGTAGCTAGGATGACAGGTGTGAGCCACCGATGCCCAGCATCTCTGTGAGACTCTTATCTCCAATAAGCCAGCAAAAAACCAGAAGTGGTGCTGTGACTCAAGTGGTAGAGTGCTCACCTTGAGCTGAAGAACTGAGGGACAGCGCCCAGGCCCAGTGTTCAAGACCCACAACTAACAACAACAAAAAAGTACTTGCACATGTGGGTGAAAGCAGAATTCCCATGTGGGCAGAAACCGTGTGGCTGTCCTGTACCCGGGCCACAGCAGACCAGCCCAGGCACCCCTGGATTTGCGGAGAAAAGCAAGAGATCCTTATTTTTTCCTCACTCAGAGGCTCCTTCGTCATCACCAAGCTCATGTGAAAACTGTTGCATTTTGTTTACCAGTTTTCCACTAAGGCTGCCTGTGCGTGCCAGCACCCTGCCTGGAGTTTAATCCGGTTTCCGTTGTGTGAGATGCTGCTGGAAATCAGAGCAGAGAGAGTCACCCGGCCCTCCGCTAGCCTACCCTGCTGCAAGGGATGGCCCAGCACCCCCAGAGCGGTGACCAGCGTCTCCGCAGGAGTCCAAGCACGGCGTGGCCGGGCCCTGACGTGGCCGGGGTCCAGGGGTCCCCAAGTTCTTCTGCAGCTCGGTGAGTGCCGCACACTGGAAGTGGTGGGCAGGGTGTTTGCTGTGGACATGAACATGGGGCAGCTCCACCCACCCAGCCAGACCCACCAGCCTCCCTGTCCCGTGTCTCCAGCAGGCTGCAACATCTTACTTCTTCCCCAATCATGTGGGAGTCACATGAATACCTTCAGATGTCCTTTTACATCTGGACAAGAAACCGATTTTACCTTGAATTTTTACACTTTTTCTTACTACGCTATTAATTAAAGAGTGAAGGCACAAAGCCCCACAGAGCAGCCTCACCATGCAAGGTGCTGACAACACAGCAGCTGGAGAAAGAGGCAAAACCCACCAGCCAGTGTCAGATGCTTCCAGAACTCAGTGACAAGTTCAAGCCAGGCACGAGGGCTCACATCTGTAATCCTAGCTACTCAGGAAGCTAAGATCTAAGGATTATGATTTGAAGCCAGCCCTGACAGGAAAGTGCATGAGACTCCAATTAAACTGTTAAGTACAGCTGTGGCTCAAGTAGCAGAGTGTTAGCTTGGAGTAAAGAAGCTCAGGGATAGTGCACAGGCCCTGAGTTCAAGCCCCAGGACCAGCACAATAAAAAAGTGGAAAGAGGCTGGCACTGGGGCTCATGCCTGTAATCCCAGCTACTCAGGAACCTGGGATCTGAGGATTGTGGCTCACATCTACAATCCCAGCTACTCAGGAGGCTGATATCTGAGGATTGTGGGCAGAAAAACCCATGAGACCTATCTCCAATTAACCAGCAAAAAGCTGATGGAGGCGTGGCTCAACTAGTCGACGGCACATAACACTCAATTCAGGTACCAGTTCAGAACTAAGAGGTCAAGAACATAAATATGCATATTAGTTATTCACAGGATGAGGCCCCGGTATAGATGAAAAACACTGCTGCAAACCAGCGGCCACAGCATCACAGCGGCCACAGCGCGGGGAGGGAGCGCCGCCAGGCCCACGGCACACCTGCCTGCGGTGTCCTCATGTCCCACTGCGGGTTCCGGCGCTTGTGTGGCCAGGTTCAGAGAGGCTGCACTCCAGGCAACCTGGGTAGAAGGGAGGGTGCAATAGCTGGCCCTCTTCCTGTCCACATTGCTACAATTTATACAGGAAAATCTATCAAAATAAAGCTCTGTTTGGATCCCTACCCTTCGGGGGCTCCGCTTGGGCTGGGGTGACTCCTGACCACGGAGTGGGCACAGAGGCAGGCATGTGACACACAAGGGGACGCTGACCGCGGGAGGAGAGGGGAGGCAGGCAGGGTTCTGCCGGCAGGGGCAGGGGCAGGGGCAGGGGCAGGGCCCGGCTTTGGAGGGTACAATGGCCTCGAGTACAATGGTGGCCTGTTCCACTAATGGGAAGCCTCAGCTCCGCCCCGGCAGTGTGTCCATGAGGAAGCTCCTAGAGGAGATGAGCGCCTAACCACAGTGTGGGCATGCAGCGTCCTTCCCCAAGGGATGACCGCTTGGCTAGGATGGCTCCTTCTGTGCTCAGGGACCCTGGCTCTCAGGCCTCCAAACCACACCGCCAGCTCTCCCAGTCTCCATCTTGTCCATGGTACACTGAGAATTCTCAGACTGCACGATCACTTGAGCCAATGCTTTGCCCTTCGCTCGGTCCTTCCCTTCCCTTCCTCCCGGCCCTTGGGATGGGAGTTTGAATCTCGGGCCTCATGCTTTCTTAGCTTGCTCTATGACTTGAGTCACACTTCAGCCCAGCTTTCTGTTGTTTCTGGCGATGGGGAGTCTCATGTGTTAGCCTGACATGCTTCTGTCCCCAGCTGGCAGACAAGTGTCCCTGGGGTGCAGCGGATAACCAGCTCCCTCCCTCGATGGAAGCAGCAGCCTGCGTAGCTTCGCAGCTGCTGTGAGCCTTGGCCCACCATGACGGAGTCCCCTGCCTCACACCCTGCATTAAGTGCCGCCCTCAGCCCCTCCAGATCATAAGGGCCCCCACCCCCAGAAAAATATAAGCGCCTTTTCTCTCCTTCTGGTGAGGGAACTAGCCCGTCAGTTCCTCTGCTGACAGTGAACCCTGTGCTGCATGTGACCCCGCGTCCCTGTGGTTTTCTGCGATGGGGCTTTCATCAGGGACTTTCCGGTCCGGGCAGACTGCAAACCACGGTCCCCAGGCTCAACAGTAGGGTCACAGGCATGCGCCGCAGGCACCTGACCTTGCAATCTCCTCTTCATGTGTGAACACATGATTCTATTCTCTCAAGAACCCTGGTGACTCACGGCTAAATGTCTTCTGGAGTCAGGAAACTTGGGCCTGTGCTGGACAGAGGGAGCCTTTGTGACCGGCCTCTGTCACACCCTGCCCGAGGCCCTGACAGAGCCATGGCGGTCACTGTCGGGTCACTGCTGGGGCCCTGATGCAAGCGGCAGACCCCGGTGCCCGGTTTCCTTTGGAATTTACCTCGGGCAGTTTCCTGTTCCTAGGCTGTTGTCGATGTTGTTGTTGAAGACAAGAGTCTCACAGTGAATTTCAGGCTAGCTCAAACACAAACTCTCTGCAGTGCTAGGATTACAGGTGTGCCCATTACACCAGCTCTTTTTGACACGTTTCCTCTGTCCTCCGGTGCAGCAAGCTATGGCAGGCTGCATCCTAGATCTTGCCAGTGGATCACTGACATGGGGGGGGGGGGTTAGGGTCTTGATGGATAGTCAGAATCCCCCAAGGCCCCGAAGTCTAAACCGAGAATGTATTTATTTTCTTACACCCCTACATGTCAACCATTTTAAAGCAATAGAGCTCCTATCCATATTAAATTTGCAAGAGGAAATGCGCGATGTACATACATGTTCCTTGGACTGTTGAGATGACCTAAGCACACGAACACTCCACTGTGCACCTGACCAAAGCCCGGGCGCCCAGAACACTACCAACCAACCAACACTGTGCCCCTGACCAATGCCCGGGCGCCCAGCACACCACGAACCAACCAACACTGTGCACCTGACCAATGCCCAGGCTCCCAGCACACCACCAACCAACACTGTGCGCCTGACCAATGCCCAGGCTCCCAGCACACCACGAACCAACACTGTGCGCCTGACCAATGCCCAGGCTCCCAACACACCACCAACCAACCAACACTGTGCACCTGACCAATGCCCAGGCTCCCAGCACACCACCAACCAACACTGTGCGCCTGACCAATGCCCAGGCTCCCAACACACCACCAACCAACCAACACTGTGCGCCTGACCAATGCCCAGGCTCCCAGCACACCACCAACCAAC